AAAACTCGTAAATACGCGATATTGTTTAATTTACACTTAAAATATAGTATTTGATAATTCGTGTCTAAAATAATTGCATAGATTTTTTAAAAATGGATAGTTTAAAAAATCTATATTCTGAAAAATTGTATAAATACATAATTTTGAGTATTCTATATATAAAATCACAGTCTAAAATATTTTAACAAATTTCCATCTAAAAAAAAATTGTGTAAATTTACATAAACAAGTAGTTTCGGATATTCACATTCTAAAAAATTGTACAAATATATGATTTTAAGCAATCCATACATAAATATAACAATTCGAAATATTTTGATAAATTTGCGTTTAAAAAAGTAGTGTGGATTTATATAAATAGATAGTTACACCATTTTATGATATAAAAAAACATGTAAATATGCAATTTTGTGTAACTTACTCAAAGAGTATGATTTTTAAGATAAATATAAAATATAATACTGTAAATTAAAAAAGAAAGTTAAATAGCATAGTGGTTAAATTGCGAGATATGATATATAATAAAAAAACTCAAGGTAATCAGTTCAATTCCTAAGGTAAAAAAAAAAAAAAAAAAAAATAAATATAAAAGATCGTTCATTATAAATTAATTAAATAAATTTTGTAACTTACTCTTTATAAATCTTTTAAAAATTTGAGCTTTTACCAAAATTTTTCTTTTTAAATCGTGACTTTTATCAAGAAAAAAAATTTTTTTATAAATCACCGAGTTTGAAGGAAGAAAATGGTAAACACCTCGATATAAAAATATTAAAATATTTGATTTATATATAAATGAAGATATAAATTTCCTAAAAGGAAAGCTTGATTGGAAAGCCGTCCTTTATGGAAAGCCGTCCTTGACAAAAGGTTGATGTCCAAACATCATGAAATATAATGTTTAGACATAATGATGGTATGTCTAGACATCATGTTTGATATATGTAGGATGATGTTTGTACATTATTTAACATGATGTCGGGACATTTCGCCGAAAAATAATATCTGGCTTATAATTCTGCATAATGTTGGCCCTATTTTCGAAACGTCCTTTCGACGAAATGGCTTTCGGCGAAATGTACCGTAACCGTTTAAAGCACCCCCTCTCTTTTCTAAAATTGAGTGGTACTGAATATTTCCGACTTTACCGAAAATTTCTGAAATTTTTAATATGTTTAAATGTCATGTTTGTTTTGTTTAAATTATTCCCTCCCCTCCCCCTCAAATTTTTGAGCCATAAAGGACGTTATACTAATTATTAGTTTGGAATGGCGATGTTACTACGTTAAATACGGTATCAATGTTTTTTATTGAAATTTTTTTTTTTTCTGTTTAATATATACGGATCATCCGAATCATCTGTGAACCTCTAACGGATGACTCGAATGAATTTTGAATTGGATAAATCCATGAAAAAGATTATAAATATGGATTTTGTTATTCTTAATTATAATTCCATTCCAGTAATCTCTTATGGAATAACATATATGTTAACAAAAAACTTAGAATTAACTGAAATTTATGGATTTGAATAATTCTATAATTTTGAATAGACCTTTCCAAATATTGGATGTGACAATACATTTCATTATCCCGATACTTACTATCCTGATACGCTATTTTTTTTTATTACTTTTTTATAGACGTAATAATATTATTGTAATATTTTGTAATAAATATGCAATAATTTTTAAAATATCGCAAAATTATAATTTCTATTGTAAAAATTAATTTTTTTTTTTTTAATATTTAATAATTTTTAGCAAAATAAATGTTTTTATTATTATTATTTTTTTATTAATATTTAATAATACATCGCATAAATTAAGAATCACTTCGCAAATATTAATGATTTATTGTAAAAATGCAAATCATAAATTTTGTAAATTTTAAAGCGAAAAAACAAATATATTATCAGTGATACTGATACCGACAAAATAATCGACATTCAAATTACCGACAGTCACATTCAAATTACCGACATCAAATAATATTATTACTGTAAAAAATTTTTTCTTTATAGTAATCCTAATCCCCTAATCCCATACCCTAATCTAACCCTAATTAACCCAAAATCTCTCAAATTATTTTATAAAATTTAAAAATTTTTTCTTTTTCGGAGTATTACCAACCCTCTTCTACTTTTCCTTGTTACTTCATTAATTTTCTTTTATAGAAATTTGTAAAAAATATTTTAGTATAGTAAACATTAAGTTCGAGTTTGTAAATGACGAATTTTTCTCGATCAATTATTATATGTTTATTACCGTAAAAAGGTTTTTGCCAAAATTTTATTAATATAGGCTTTTTTTGTTGTTTTTTACTTCAAATCACCAGGGTGATCATCACCGTTGGCCAGAATTATCAATTTTTACCGGCACTATTTTTTTAATGCTGGTCGATCGTCATAATTTCAGTCACCGGTGATCATCACCCCCGGTGATAGTTAGAAAAATTCTTTTTTGTTATCAAGTTTAATATTAAACAATTCTATATTTTTAAATTATTAAAATTATTAGTAGATATTTTTTTATTTTGGAAAATTTTCCACGTAAAATTCACATGGAAATCCACATCAAATATTGTGAAATCTAATAGTTCCAATATTTTCCAATACCCTGTAAATTCTACGTGGAAATGTGTGGAATTCCACGTATTTCTGAACTAATCCATATGAAATTACGTGAACCAATCTACCTAAATATTTCATAGTTATTTTACGGGAAGCCGTAGATATCATCATGTCGGAGCTGTGATTGATAATGAGATCGAGGCTGATCTGATTCGTGAAATGACTGGTCTATACCATGGAGACTAACGTCCTGTATACAATTTAAACTACTGATAGCTTATTCTTTTTAAATAAACATCATCCATAAAAAATAAATATCAATAAGGAAAATCACGAACGACTATTAGGAAATGAGTACCATGCGTTCATTTATTATAAATCCCATAATATAGTTAATATATTTATATTAATTAAATGAAACAAAAAAAAATTTAAAATAATACTGTACGTATATGGTGATATTTATAATTTTCTGAATATTTTTATGTATATTAAATATAAATTCTTTTTTTTTTTTGATAATTAAAATAAATTTTATATTACCCGGTTATTACCAATTGCTTAAATCTTATAACTATATATGAAAATAATGATAACAATACTTTCAAGTGATTATGGTATTAATTTATAAAAATATAATAATTATATTTCTTAGTAAAATAATAATTCGCTTGAATTTCATGCGCAGTGAATTTACAAAGTTACGTGAAATTCGAAAACGTTCATGTTTTGTATTTACCCAAATTTTTTATAAAAAAGTTATTCTATATAAAAGCTAAAAAATATTAATATGGTTGCGTATTGTATGTAACGTTGTGAAAGCAAATGTATCTTAATTTACAATAAGGGGTCAAATGAAGGAGACCCGAAATATTACTATTAGGTGTGCGCAGTCACTGCGCACCGGTATTATGATAATTTGTCAGTGTCCAATAAAAGGTAATAGAATTCTTATCAAAAAAAAAGAAAAGATATTTATCTTTTTTTTTTGGCTGATGTACGAAAACTCGAACCTGACCACTACCTGATCTTATATTTCTGCCATATTTCAGGGTCCTGTCGCACAGAATAATTTGGTGTTTTATATATTATATGACTTTTATAAAATGGTAACTGCATTTTTATTGCTGAAAATCTACTTTTTCTTATGTTTTATCTTGTTTATAATAGTACTTTACACAAGAAATCCCGGTATTTTATTGGCTGAATTTCAGGTCACATGATATAGAATGGAAAATTGAAACAAAATCACGTGATGGTCTAGTATAGACTTCCAGCACCATATTAAATTTATATATAAATTTAGTTTTATTCAGGTTTGATTCTTTTCTGTATTCAGCATTTCAATATCGTAAAAAATCATTCAATCATGTCTAAAATTAACAAAGATATTCTTCTCTTTATACTTGAAGAATCTCTTATCATGTTCTAATTGCTCTATGGTTGGTGCGAAGTTTCTATTCCAACTTTGTGGAAAGATCCTTGGCGCCATAATATTAATTATCATGACAAAATTCATTATATTCTGTTATTACTTATTATTTATCTGATGATGATATTAAAGAATGTTTTAAAAAAGGAAAAGAATTTTTTTTTTACCAATTATACAACAACCACTTTATTTGATTATTTATCTTCCTACTAAAGTTTGATGTGGTCATTAAATTCTATAATTTCTATAGGAACTTCAGGCTTAAAAAATCAGTTTCTTTCGCAGCAAGAAATTTACAAACTTCTAATAAGGAAATATCCTGAATTGAAGTGTTTGTCTATTCGAATATTAATTCAATTTAGCATCATATATAATTTTCCAGAAGCTAAAGCGCGCTCAATAACTTTGCGAATTAAAATGTGATACGTCTATTAGTTCTTCAACTTTAATGCCCTAAATTAATGGATTAGCTCGTAATTGTCAAATATATCAAGGCTAATTGTAGGATAATTTTGATGATTTCGCAGATGATCCTTATTTAAAAAATATTCTTACATCAGCAAAAAAAAGCAGTTATTACTAGGAAAACGGTAACCATTAAAGTTACAACATTAAACAAAAAATTGATAATGAAAAATAGCAAATTATCAGTGTTACAAAAAAAGGAATATGATTGAAAAATCATTGTTTAAATTTGAATGTTAAAAATTTCTTCAACATGCTAATCCTAATAATGTTATTATGGAAAAACTTTACAATAATCCAATAGTCTTATAAATTTAGATATATCAAATTATTTATTCAGTTATGTTTAATTGTTTATATAAAATCAATTTAATAAATTAATAAAATGAACAAATCGATTTATAACTTATGTAATATGTAATTACCATTTATTGCTGACTTAGCCAAGTCTTTTAAAACTTGTTGTCACCTGATCACCACGTTGAGGTGCAGCAACATTGATCAGGGGAAAGGGGAAAGGGGAAGGGGAAAATGAAAGGGAAAGAGGGGAAAGGGAAAACGAGAGGGAAAGGGAAAGCGAGAGGGAAAGGGGAAAGCGAGAGGGAAAGGGAAAGCGAGAGGGAAAGGGACAGCGAGAGGGGAAGAGGAAAACGAGAGGGGAAGGGGGAAATGAGAGAGGGGGAAAACGAGGGGGAAGGGGAAAGGAAGGAAATACACAAACATACACACCACCCACACACAAACTCACAAACACCTACACAAAACAACCACATACCTAAAGGAAGACGTAAAGAAAAGGGGCCTAAGAATAAAGAGGACCTAGACAGAGAGAAAACAGAAGTTAAAGAAGGCCTAAAAAAAAGAAGACAGAAGACAAAAAAAAAAAGATAAAGAAAACCAACATATTTGCATTATTTAACTATATACTCATGACAAAAGATTATGATAAGGAATTATTATTTGCACATTTGCATGAGGAATTTTTTTCGCGTAACTTTATTAATATGACTGATATGAGTAATTATATTAATTATCATATTGTATTATAGCGAATTATCAGTGTTACAAAGTATATAATCAAAAAAGGAAATGCAGGAGTGAAAAAGGATGACGTAGGTGATGGAACTTGGAAGAAAGGAATATTGCATGGGTTAACTATCAAATCGTCTATTGCATAACAATAGAATGTCCTTCGCTACGCCTCTCCGATAAATAAATTTATTTGATAAATCAATTTGACTCCCTTAGCAATTTGAATTTTTATTTTAAATAAATTTAAGAAGGAAGGAAACGTCTTTTTATGCTAGTAAATCACTTATTGGATAACATTATTGATACAATTGCCACAAAAAACCTGGTCAACCTTAAGCAAGTTACCTAATCGCTTCAGAGCGTACTCAATTATCATAACCTGACACAATTGTAATGCTGACAACGACGACAGGTCAAGATTACGTTTTTACTAAAATTTTAACTTCACCTAATAAATTTTCTTTCAAACATATAAATAGATATATTGTGATCAAGTTTAGAATTTGTCGATTCTATATTTTTAAATTATTAATGGTGAAAGAAACGTAAAATGTAAATATGCGATACTGAATATTATGTATTAAGAGAACAAAATCAATCATAGCCAAAAAAGTTTTATTTAACATTCAAAAAAAATTTTTTTTCACTAGTATAACCGAAAATCAGAAGACCATCGTGCGGAGTTGCTTTGACTCGAGTTACCTTATCTTCAATTCTTGACTCATCTTAATCGCTCTTTTCGTACCTGAAATTTTTTTAATATGAATATAAAAAAATGTAATCAACAATTAATTGAACAAAATAAATTTTATAAGAACGCATATATAAATAAATTCAGTTTCATGAACAATATGAATAAGGATCACTGAAAATTAACATTGTGTGTTATCTCCTAAAACAATTTTTTAATGTTGTAAAACATTATTTGATCAGCGTTGTAGTCGTACAGAATAATCCATTTATAAAACCAAGAAATATAAAAGGAACAAAAATCCTGAAATTTATAGGTACAATTGGTTTTTCTTTATTTTTTATTTTTTTTGATAGAAGAATGCCTAAACTTAACAAAGATATTTTATTTTTGATTTTTGAAGAATTGCAAGAAGATTCAAAATCTCTCTTTTCATGTTTAATGACTAATAGATTTTGGTGTGAAATTGCTATTCCTATTTTATGGAAGAACCCTTGGCGCTATAATATTGATTATTATAACAAAAATTCATTATACTCCGTTATTACTTTTTACTTACCTGATGATATTAAAGATTTTTTAACAAGAGAAGAAATCTTATTACCAATTTTACGTCATCCACTTTTATTTGATTATTTATCTTTCTGTAGAAGTTTCGATGCAGACATTTTGAATGCCATAATTTCCATAAGATCTTTAGACTTATATAATCAATTTATTTTGCAACAAGAAATTTATAAACTCTTAATAAGTAGTAAATGTCCTGAGTTAAAGTATTTGAATATTAAATCAATTAAACACCAAATATTTTATTTCCCGAAAGCTAAAGCGCGACTTGAATCACTTTGTGAATTAAAATGTGACACATCTATTAATTCTTCATACTTTTATGGATTAACACGTATTTGTCATTATATACAGAGACTCATTATTATAAACAAAAAAATAAGTGTCAATCATGGAGCAGTTAAGTTAATTGAAAATCAAAAAAATTTAAAATATTTTGAGTTGAAGGATGATTTTGAAAATGATGTTCTCATAGAAGATCCTTATAAAGAAATTTTTCTTGCATTAGTAAAAAAAGCAGATGATCTGAATCATTTAAAAATACACCTTCAATATATTGAATTTTATGAACATACGATAATACAAAATTTACTTACAAAATTTTCTAAATTAAAAACCTTAATAATTAGTGGTATTTATATTCCTTTTTCTAAAAATCAATTAAAAATGTTAACCTATCATGAACTTGAGATTTTTAATATAGATTACATCTCATTTAGTGAAGCTTCTATTATAATTGAAAATAGTGGTGGATATCTTAGAGAAATTCTATTAAAATATTGTGATTATGAATATATTGTATTTGGTAACTTTGATGATTCACCCAATTTTATTCGTAAAATATACCAAAATTGTCCTTTGATTGAATATTTATCATTACTATTTTCATCAAAAATGGAAAATTTTGTTGAATTTGAAAATTTATTAAAAGTTTGTCAAAATTTGAGATCATTATTATTAAGTATACCAAATAATGATAAAGAAAAAACGGGAGAAGAATTGTTAGAAGTATTAATTAGATCAGCTCCAACAAATATAAGAGAAATTAGATTTTTTAACGATTTTAAATTTTCCTTGAATAATTTGGAGAAATTCTTTAAAAATTGGAAAGATCGTCCTGCGCTTTCTATACTTACATCTGACCCTCAATATAAGAGAGACGACTATATAAAACTGATCAATAAATACAAAAAAAATGGAGTAATTAAAGCATTTAGGTGTGATTTTGAAAGAAATATATACTATTAAATTTGATAATGAATTTTTCATGGTTCCTCTCGATTAATAAGTATCAATAATTGTAAGTTTATTACAAGTAAAAAAAAAATCTTTAGCAAAACCTTAACTGTATTTATCAAATTTTAATGTAAATTAAGTATTTGACTTTTAAGTATCCGACAATTCAATCATTATTATCAGTTTATCATAACCAAAATTACTGATTAAATAAAGGAAATACAATAAATGTTTATGTTTAAAGCATCTAATTAAAGTTCTTAATCGAACCGATCATTGATTGATTTCAATCAAATCGATTAAAATCGTAATAATTATTATTGTTAGATACGCTGAAGTTTTTCCGGAATAAAAATCTCTGCTCCAAAGGAAATTGGATATTTTTGGCATTAACGTTTTTTCATTTTCGTCATATTTCAATAAAATATTTGCACTTCTAAGGTCCAAATGTACAATTTTTTTCTATAAAAAACGATAAGTTATTGATTATTTAAACGCTGTAAATGTTAAGAACTAAAACAACGACAAAAACAATAATTCTTCAAAAAATCGACTGCGCGTGATCGATCAAGGTTAGATCGATCATGTTTGTAATATAAACAAACTGGTGCAATCAAGTAAAGATTTCTCAGCGTAACATTGAAAATAAGTTGATTCGCATCAAAAGTTTATTCACAAATAAACACGATATTTTGGACTTAAGAAATAAATGTACACTATTTATATTACCTGCTGTATATACCAACTCATTCGACTTATCGATCCAATTAGCTTAGAATCTCGTCAAATTTTCATGATTTGATGGATGATGCAGATCCGAAAAATTCTTAAATTTACCATTAAAACTAAAATAGATTCGATTGGAAAAATATCTGGAAAGATAGTCGCACTTTCGTAAAACATATTTATGATATTGATTTAAATGAAACTTTAAAATAATTATAAATTAAATAATTTATTAAATAAGCAATCACTTTGAAAGTAATAAAAACCAAATTTGTTAAACATAAATTATGTTTGCTGAATAAAAAGAATCATTTGTAGTATTCGAAGGCGTAATATATACTGCGCCTCAAGGTCACGTATAGTGGAACGAATAACGCGGAGGGTGTGACACGAAGTAGAAGAAATGCAAATGTCTACTACTCTGTGATATAGATTGATTGTTGCGGCAAAAAAATTATTAGAGCAATATTAACATATTCTAATATTATGGATTTTGGTGTCAGATCAGAGAATATTTAATTTTGGTATTTATAGCGATAATCTTTGTATATTAAGAAAGAAAGAAAAATTTCTCAAATTTAATTTATAAAATTCTTTGGAAAATAACCTTACGGTTTTATGTTTACAAATAAGTAGAAAATATAAATTCTTTTACGATTACTTTTATTTTATTTCTAAAATTATTTAAATAGCATGTCTCAATTTCTGTTCTTGATTAATGCAATTTATATGGCAATATGACTCTTAATTATGTCTATGCATAAAAAACAATAACAATAACGTCGGATTTTTATAGCAGAAATTTAATTGAAGTACTATTGGAGTAGCATTTTTAGCTGCGCCTAGAGTTTTGTAATAATTTGGCGTAGTAAATTTATGAAGTCACGTGTGGGAGGTCATATTTTGTATTTAAAATTCATGAAAAAGTTTATTTATATCCGTGTATAATAACTGAATAAGAAAGTTTTTCTCATTGAATAAAATAAAATTTATAAAAAATTATGAACCAATTTCAAATAAATTAAATAAATTCAGAAAAAATAAACTTTATAAATTTAGATAATTAATGAACACTTACATGCATAAATATATTTCATATGGAACAATAAAAATTACTTTTTATGAACAAATTTTAGTATAGTCCACTAATAATAATTAGTAAATCCCTACTAAATCGGGTGATTAGCGCTCTTAAATGAAATATTATTTTTGAACAAGCGTTTAGTCTCACAGAATGATCCAATTGGCCCCGGAGTTTGGTTCCGTTTTATAATTTAGTTTCATTCATAAAATTTGGAGTTTTTTATTCCTTTTATTTGTCTTTCTGAAATTATATATTTCAATAATATTCTAGTTATAACAGATATTAAACGTTTTTTCTTTATTTATTGAATAGAAAAATGCCTAAACTTAACAAAGATATTCTTTTTTTAATTTTTGAAGAATTACAAAAAGATTCCAAATCCCTCTTTTCATGCCTAATGGTTAATAGACTTTGGTGCAAAACTGTTATTCCGACCTTATGGAAGACCCCATGGTGCTATAGTATTAATTATCATAATAAAAATTCATTGTACTCTGTTATCACTTCCTATTTATCAGAAGATATTAAAGAATCTCTAATAAGACAAGAAATCTT